AGAGAAACATAGGGAGGAGACCATGTGACAACAGAGGCAGAGATTGAAGAGATGCCCCTGTAAGCCAAGGAACGCCAAGGATCGCCAGCCAACACCAGAAGCTGAGAAGAGGCAACGAAGCACTCTCCCCTACAGCTTTCAGAAAGAGCACGACCCTGCCAACACCTTGATTTTGGCCTTCTAGCCTCCAGACAGGTCAGACAACAAATTTCTATCGTTTCAAGCCACTGAGTTTGTGGTACTTTGTTACAGCAGCCTTAGGAGACCAACATTGTCTCATCTTTTAGCTCCATATTTTGTTCCTCTTGGTATCCCAACAGCTGGCCCAGTCCCTGGCACACAGTAGGTGCTCAGAAAGTGTTTGCTGAGTGAGCAAGTGAAAAAATTAATAAAGTATAAACTCAGTAGGAGAAGGAACTATGTCTTTTACCTCTACAAGAGACCAGGGCAAATAAAATGTTCAATAACCATTTGTAGAATGAATAAACTGTGTGTGTGTGTGTGTGTGTGTGTGAGGAAGACTGGCCCTGAGCTAACCTCTGTCAATCTTCCTCTTTTTGCAAAGATTAGCTGTGAGCTAACATCTGTGCCCATCTTCCTCTATTTTGTATATGGGACGCCACCACAGCAGGGCTTGATGAGCGGTGCGTCAGTCTGCGCCTGGGATCCGAACCTGCGAACCCCGGGCCACCAAAGCAGAGCACGCGAACTTAGCTCCAATGCCACCAGACCGGCCCCTAAACTTTTTTGAATGAATGAACAATAAGCTCAAGAAGACTCAAGCAAAGAATCTTACTCATCTATTTCCCCAAGATTCAGCAAAGGGCCTGGCACACAGTAGCTGCTTAATAAATTTTGAAGGAGGGAAGGGAAAAACAAAGGGAGGGAAGGCAAGAAGGAAAGAAGACCAGGGTCAATTTCCCAGTTCTCAGTCTAGGTAGAAACTTCCTTCCTTTATGTATCTAATCAAGGAATGGCCGATGCCCTGGAATAACCAGTTGAATTTTAAACAGCCGCAATTACATCGAAAGGGCTTTCACAGTGGAACTTGAATATTATTGTTTTTCTAAAACACACGTCTTTTTCTATTGTATCCAGGAATCATAAGGCTTTCCAACCCTTCCAACAATGTTAGCAATGCAGCTCAGAGTTGAGAGGTCAGCCCTTCTGCGCTCAGCTCCAGGGACACACTTCCCGTCCATGCGCAGCGCTCATTCCTGACCCCTGCCCTGCAGCCAAAAAGGGACATCAGCTGGGCTCAGGGAAATTCAATTTGGGCTGACACCTGGCGGCACGATAATGACCTTTGGAAAGGCCAGGGGGGAGGCTCACAGAGGTCTCTCCTGGGCTTGGTTTAGGAGGTCTAACGTTTAGGTCAGTTCATGTCTACATATGGAGAAAAAGCCTGAAAATAAGGCCGACTGACTTCTCCTGCTGGCTCAGAATTCAATTCCACTTCCAGTTGCTGTCTGTCCTCTGCTGTGCTCGTGGTACGTGGGGTGAAAAAGGAAACATCTTGTTCTTTATTCCCCTGGACTTGAGCTTTCCCAAAGACGACAACTGCATGGTTGTCGGATGTGATTTCATTCATTCATACATTTATTTTAACAACCAGACAAAGTAAGAGGTCCCCAGACTTATGTCCTGATAAATGTAGAAAGTCTCTGCCCCGGTGGGTTCCCCTTCTCGTCTACTGAACTCCACGCTCCAACACTTGTGTGCTCCACGAGATGCCAGGTGTAGGTCACCAACCATCACAGTGACAAACAAGACAAAGAACAGCTGACCCCTTCTCAGCGCCGCTTGGCAGGGAACGGCTTTACGTTTTCCATGTAGCCCTCATGTGGTCACCTCACCACCGATGCAGGAACTCTCTCCTATCACAGGAGTCGGTTGAGAGGGACATCCATGATATTTGCACGGTTGGGTTAGTTTACAGCCCCTCGCGTGGCCCCAGGGTGTCCCACTCTGAGCCTAACCAGGGCAATCTGTATGGTGTTCACATCTCTCCTGTTCCTCTAGACTGAAAGCCCCACGAGGATAGGGCCATGTCTGCTGCTGCCCCCAGATCCCAGCACTCCAGCCCAGTTCCTGGCCCATAAGGAGTAAGGAACTGATAGACGTATGTCGTATGAATGAGCCAACAAACACACGAGCAAATAAATAAAAAGCAATACCGCTGTTGGGCCTTATGTGCTGGTTAGGAGAACGCGGGCTTTGGAATCGGGCAGGGGAAGTTTCACCCCTGCTCCACCACTGCCTGCCCACGATACGTTTCTATTGAAGTGCTATATAAACACATAAAATTGTCTATGTCATAAGCGTACCGTTCAAGGAATTTTTACACCCATGTAACCAGCACCTAGACCAGGGAACGGAACATTCACAGAACCTCAGAAGCCTGTCTGACGCTCCTTCCAGTCACCGCCCCCGACTCCCCGAGGGTAAAGCACCATCACGCCCGCTGCACGACGTCTGACAAGGCACCCATCCTCTCCGACTCTTATCTTCAAAGTGGGGAAATAATACTTACCACGCTCTGGGTACAAAATGTGTAAGTGTCTGTGCAGTGCCTGGCAAACAACAGTGGTATCGTAGTAATAGCAGTATAACAGAAACAGCACGAGCAGCAGCAGCAGAAAAGTGGAAGTAGCAATCATGATAAGTAGTAGTAATAGTAGAAGCCATAGTTGTGACAGTACAAGCAGCAGGAGTGGTAACAGTAGAAGTCGTAATCATAATAGAAGCAGTCATAGTAATAGTAGTAGTAGTAGTAGTAATGGTAATAATAGAAGTAGTAGTAGTAATAGAAGTAGTATTAATGGTAATAGTAGAAGTAGTAACCCTGGTAATAGAAGTGGTGGCAGTAACAGTATTAGTAGTAATAATGGTAATAGTAGAAGTAGTAATTGTGATAATAGAAGTAGTAGTAGTAATAGTAGAAGTAGTAATCATGGTAATAGAAGTAGTCATCATAATAGTATTAGTAGCAGTAATGGTAATAGCAGAAGTAGTAGTAGCAGTCATAGCTGACATTATGCAGAACTTATTATGTTCCAGGCACCGATCAAGGTACTTTACCTTAACAAATCTAACGCTCAAAGGAGCCCTTATAAGGATGTAGGATTTTACAGATGAAGAAACTGAGGCACAGAGAAGTTAAGTAGCTTTCCTAAGGTCACATAACTACGGAGCCATGGATCCAGGATTCAAACACCAGCAGTCAGGCTACAGAGCCTATCCTCTTAACAGCAATCTTTCAATAACTATTTGCACGGCAAAGAAAGATTTGTCCTCCAATGTCTGTTCTCTTCTTTTTCTACAATAACAACTCTCAATTTTGAAAGCACTGATCTTGCAGAATAAAGATCACATTTCCCAGCCTTCCTTGCAGTTAAGCGTAGCCAAAGAACTAAATTCTGGCCAATAGAATACAAGCAGAAGCAGCAAGTACAACTTCCAGGAAGCATCCTTAAAGGGAGGGGGCCTGCTTTTCTTCTCTTTCCTTCTTCTTGTTGGTAGATGTGATGGCTGGAGCAGGAGCAGCCAGAATGGACCATGAGGTGATCTTGGCAATAGAGGCCCATATGGCAGAGAAACAACACAGGAAGAGCCTGGGTCTCTCATAGATTGCTGTAGCAGCCCTGCACTACCTGTGTTTGAACTTTTGGATAAGAGAGAAATATACTTCTATCTTCTTTAAGCCAATGTTCTTTTAGATTTTACATCATTCATAGCAAAAACTAATCCTATATAATGCACTGTTATTGCAGTTATAATTAATAACACATAAAAAGACACTTGCAAAACAAATGTCACTTTTGTGTTGGACACTTGATTTAAAAAACAGAACAAAATAAAACATGACTTCGGGTAACCCTGTAATGGTCAAACTATGAAAATAAGCAGGCAAAGTCTCACTTATCCTGGAAGGTGGGAATAGTGCCCAATGACCTCATGTCTGGGTCACATCAAAGCCTCTCAGGTTGGCCTCCCTGCCTCCAGCCTCTCGCCTCTCCCACCGTTCAGAACCTTAAAAATTACTTTCCTCCTAAAAATTGGAATAATTCCAACGTTCTGTGTGCCTACTTTACGCAAGACACTTTATTGTATACCTTTCTTCCAGTCTGCAGAAAAAATCTGAAACATAAATATTATCACCCCTCTTTCGTAGATAAGAAAATAGAAGAAACAGAGGTGAGTAACTTGCCTGAGGTTACACAGAAAGTCGGTGCAGAGCCAGGATTCAACCACCCCCGTCCAGCAACCACACTCTTTCCACCACTGAGCTGACTTCTGGAAAACACCAGCTACAGCAGGTTGACCCTGTGTCAAGTCATCCTGGCAACATGAAGACTCTTGGACTCCATGAGTTTTCTCTGCGTAGTTCATGGCTCTTCCTGCCCGGTCTAATTTTTTATCATCCTCTAACACAAACATCCACCCGTGACGTCAGACCCCAACATGTGCTCCTCTGCCAGGGCTCAGTATTCCCAGCTACAAAATGGGGCAAATCATACCTCTACCGAGAGGCAACATGACACAGAGGAAAAAGCAGGAGACCCGGAATCAGGAAAAACTGACCTCAAATCCAGCTGGGCAAGTTCTTTATCTGTAAAATGAATGTGGTAATTCCTACCTGGCGGGATTGCTGGGTGGGCTGAATGAAGTAATGTTTCTAAGGAGCCACTCGGCTAAAACAGCACCTGTTGCTGTTGGTGGCATTGTTGGTGCTGCTGTTCTGACTTTGTTCTAGTACCACCACCCCGCCACCTCTCCTTCTGCATGAAGGAGACAGGTCACGTGATAGAAAACACTTTGAAAAGTCTACAGCTCTACAAACGCCAGAGATCTGAACGTCACTTACATTCACACCCATGGGGTCTCCGTCAGCTTCTAGTGCTTGAGTCTGACCAGATTTTGCATTTCAACCCCCAAAGAGAATCCCTCCACCTTTCCCAGGCTGGGCTCTCTGGACAGGATGGGCTAAGACCACTCACCGATTCCATAGCGAATCTCTCGACGAAAAACTGGAGAGCCTGGAGGCTGAAGATCTCATGTCTCAGCCGTCACATCAGAAAATTACCTGGAGGGGGGGGCGGGAAAAAAGGTGACAAGTGTCATCCAGCGGGACCAGGCAGAAGTCACTGTCTCAGACCAACACATGATTTCATTTGGAGGCCGGCACCCTTGTTAGGAATGTTCTTACCCCACAGAGTGGCTGTCCAGGAATGAGAAGGAAAGTAGCCAGGAAACCACCATGTCAGCGATCCACTTTGGGGCTGCTATCTCCATCACTGAATCTGTGCAAGCGCTCAGAAAGCCTTCTTCAGTCTATTTCTAGCTCTACGTTGGAGAGCAATTTACAAGCCATTAACTTCTCTAGACCTGCGCTCTGAAACACGAAATTCAAGTGTGCTGACAGGTGCGACAAACAGACAGACAGACAGACACCTGCTGCTGTATGCCCCCAGCAAAGGGAACCGGCCCCAGGAAGGAGGTAGATGCATGCGAATATACATATTTCAGGACAGCCCCTCTGAAACTGAGAGAGGATTTTAATTAATTCATGCATACCACAGCTTAATTAACTGCTGAGTGCACAGAGCGCGGGAAGCTTGGGCTAAAAGGTGTTATATAAGGGAACAGCTTCAATATTTGCAGAATGGAGGGGAAATAGAGATGGGAGTGTGAAAACAGGGACCTGCCTGGTCCTTCTCCAGTGATCCCTAGCTCAGAGTGGCATCTCCAACCGGGGCCAGAAACCAAGGGACACTTGATCCACCATCTATCTCCCTCACCCCCGTATCCAATCCATCCCCAAGTCGGGTCTCCCTTACTTCCTAAAGATCTCTCAACCTGTCTCTCTCTCTCCATCTCCACTGACACAGCCCTGGACCAAGCCTCCATCATTCTCACCTGGGCCACTGCACCTGCATCTGACGAGGTCTCCCCTCATCACCATTTCTCCCTCTGAAATCCACTCCCCCACACTGAAGCCAGAATAATCTTTTTCTTTTTTTTTTTCACGTTTTATTATGCAGAATTTTATACCAACACACAAAAAAGAGTATCATGAACCCCATGTACCTACTGCCCAGCCCCAATCACTGTCAACTCATAATTAGTCCACCCCATCTACACCCTAATCCTTCCCCGCCCCACATCACTATTTCAAAGCAAATTCCAGACATCTTATTTTTAGTCATAAATAGTACAGCATGTATCTCTAAGATAAGGTCTTTTACGAAAATATAACTGCAATGCCATTACCACACCTAAAAAGATAATTCCTTGAAATCACCAAATATCCAATGCCCAAATTTCTAACAGTCTCGTAAATGTTACAAATGTTTTTTTAATAATTGTTTTTAAAATTCAGACCCAAATAAGGCCCACACTTTAAATTGGCTGATATGCAGAATGAAACTCTTAAAACACAAATCTGACTGTGTCATCCCCAGCTCTCCACACCCAGTTTAACATTCTTCAATGGTTTCTCAGTGCTTTAGGATAAAAACTCAAATCACTTAATGTGGTCTGACTCTTGCCCACCTCTCTGGCCTCATCTTGTCCACTCGGGCTCACTGCTGCAATCATATGACCTTCTTTCGGATCCTGGAACTCTCCACGGTCCTTCTGCCCCAGGTCCTTTGCCCATGCTGTTTCCTCTGCCTGGAAGGCTCCCTCACTCACTTTGCCTAGTTAACTCCCATACTTCCTTAAATCTTACTTCCTCAGGGAAACTTTTCCTGCTCCTCCAGATTAGATCACAAAATTTATCTCAGTTTTAATTATGTATTCACTAATGTGAAGCTTGATTGACATCTGTTGATTTGATTCGATTATAAGCTACATGAGTAGAAAGACTGTGTTTGGATTTTCTCCCTGGCGTCTCCCCAGCCCAACCACACAGTGCCCAGCACAATATTAACAAAGATTTGTTGGATAAATGACCAAGCCACTTCCTTCAAACTTAGATGCCAATAGCGATTGACTGAATCTCCCTGAAACTTGAATCACACCTTTAAATTAGAGGGGGAATTGATAATCTTATCCTAAGGTTCATATGGAAACGTGATGGGCTCAGCATAGCTGAAACAATCTTGAAAAGAAAGGACAATGTTGGAGGACTCACATTTCCCGATTTCAAAACCTACAACAAAGCTACAGCAGTCAAGACAGTGTGGTACTGAAGAATAACATATGCTCCCTCAGAATCACAGACCATGATCTTCCTGTAACATTCACCTCCTGATCGCAACTTTACTCAGTACCTGTCAGGCCCTGTGATTGCACAAATAATCAATGCCTCTCCCAGCCCACTCTGCAACTTGCTTTTCTTTCCTAGCTTCACCCAAGTGTACAAGCTTAGACAGTGTGTAGACTGGATCACTGCTCCTAGTTCTTCACTCTCAACCTGAACTTGAATTATACATCCCTGCCCTTTGTCACGTGACTCTGCAGTACTCCCCTCTACAGTGGGTGGTGGTGATTTCCCTGCCCCACTGGATTCCGGACTGGACCACTGTCTTGTTTAGCCAATGGAATGCGGATGGAAGTGACCGTGTGCTGGTCCCAAGCCTATTCCTCTTGCACTCCCGTGACATGCCACGAGGGGAGTATGTCCCCCTTGCTGCTGTCAGCTGCTGCCTTTCAGTCTGGGCCCCAGACTGAAGATACACAGAGCAGATCTGAGCCCAACCAGAAGTTCAGGCTGAGCCAGCCAAGCACAACTTAGATCAGCCCAACCACAACTGACCCACAGACCCATGAGCATTTAAATAAATGGCTCAAGCAAGCCACTGCAACACTGAGGGTTTTGTTACTTGGCAAAAACTGACTAATACACACGGGAACACTAATTTATGGACACCAATGAGTATCAACACAGGTTGGAAAAAATGAAAGCCTTGCACACAGGCAGCACAGGTATGAGGACAATTGGCAGAGCCACCTCTTGCAGAATACCCACCTACTTGGTGCCAATTTGACCCTCACAGCAACCCTGCAAGGTAGATATTGGCTAGCTTTACAGATGAGAAAATCGAGGCTCAGAGAACTGATATAATGTGTCCAAGACAGTGTGTGGCAGAACTGGGATTCCAACCCAGGTTGTCTGACTCAAAACCTCCAAGCCATGCTTTCCCTTCATTAGAGGGTCTTGCAGATGCTCAGAGACAGCTGTCGCATGAGGCCCTGTTCCACCAACCCACCTCCACCCTTGTCCCACTTCCTTTACTGGGTCTTCAAGAGAGGCTGCTGCGATAGAGTGGAAAGGCCACTGGGCTTAAAGTCAAACGCCCGGAGTTCCAATCCCGCCCTGCCCCTGAGCAGAGCCTCGTCCTGGTCACTCAGCCTCTCTGGCTCTCAGGTCCCTTGTTTTCAAAATGAGGCCACTAATCCCAGCCTGGCCCACGTCACTAGACTGGTGTGAACCTCCAGAGACATGGCGTGTGAAAGAGCTGTGTGAGGTGTGACACCAAAGGCAGTTCACATCCTGCTCCCTCGGCTCTGAACCCACTCAAATGAGGTTACCATCTACGTACATGTCACTATCTCACTCTTGCTGGTTTGAGACCTATTTGTGCTTTGAGACTGATTTTTTTTGAGATTATTTCTTTCAAGTTATGAAAGTAATCCAAGTCCACCACAAAAAATATTAAAGCATAAAACTGAAATCTTATGTTATCCCAACACCTAGAGATAAGTACTGCTAGGATTTTAAGCCTATTTCCTTCCTGGGACTGATTTTTGTAAGAGTGAAACAAACAATGCATTTCAATTAACATGATTTTCTTAGAACCATGGAACTACTAGTAACAAAAAAATATTCCATTTTGCATTCACTCAACAAACATTCGTTTTGTACCTACCATGTGCGAGGGACTGTTCTTGCTGCCTGAAGACAGAGCCAAGAACAAAAGAATGTTCGTGATCTCAAGGAACTACATTCATTCATTATTTTTTAAATTCAACAAATATGGAGCAACTACTATATGCTGGGCACTTGCTAATGATGATGATGATGATAATAACAGTTTTCTTGCTAGGTCCTGTACTCTAACAGTTTGGCTTATTATTAAAGTTTAGCCCTTACCAACAGACACATGAAAAGATGTTCAACATCATTAATTATTAGAGAAATGCAAATAAAAACCACAAGGAGATATCACCTCACACCCATCAGAATGGCTATAATTAACAAGACAAGAAATAACAAGTGTGGGAGAGGATGTGGAGAAAAGGGAACCCTCATACACTGCTGGTGAGAATGTAAACTGGTGCAGCCACTGTGGAAAACAGTGTGGAGATTCCTCAAAAAATTAAAAATAGAACTACCATATGATCCAGCTATTCCACTTCTGGGTATTTATCCAAAGAACATGAAAATACTAATTTGAAGAGATATACTCCCCCTTATGTTCATTGCAGCATTATTCACAATAGCCAAGACTTGGAAACAACCTAAGTGCCCATTGACGAATGAATGGATAAAGAAGATACAGTATATATACACAATGGAATACTATTCAGCCATAAGAAAGATGAAATCTTGCCATCTGCAACAACATGGATGGACCTTGAGGGTATTATGCTAAGCGAAATAAGTCAGATGGAGAAAGACAAACTCCATATGATTTCACTCATATGTGGAAGATAAAATAACAACAACAACAAACAAACATATAGACACAGAGAACAGATTAGTGGTTTCCAGAAGGGAAGGAGGAGGCAGAGGGCAACAGGGGTAAAGGGCACATCTGTAAGGTGACAGATGGCAGTTAGACTTTGGGTGGTGAACACGATGTAGTCTATACAGAAGTCGAAATATAAGGACGTACACCTGAAATTTATATAATGTTATAAACCAATGTGACCTCAATAAAAAAAGTTGGCCCTTAGAACAAATGCATCTATGGCTCTTTGGTGAGTTATTTAGCCTTTCACACTTCAGTTTCCTCTTCTTTAAAACTGAGATGATTGAAGTTCCTGCCTCATAGAGTCACTGTGAGAATTAGTAAGACAATGTAGGTAAAGCACTGAGTAAAATGCTGGGTCCCCAGTACTTGCTGAATAAATGGTGACTAGTAG